AGCTGTGATAGGAACTAGTCATGTCTACAGCATAAATTTAGCCATTTTAATTATTATCCAAAACTCAATATATGTGTGGAGTCATTAGTTTTCATGTAATTGCTGTCGCAATAAATAACATCTTAAATTTTTAATTTTTCCACAATTGAACATGTCAACTGTATTTAAACTGTATGACAGTTTCATGATGAAATGGAATAAAATCTGTTTAAAAGAATGTATATTAAAAGTTAAGAACATGTTTGCCTTCTCCTGTAAAATTACTATTTTGGAGTTTTTTGATAATGAAGTGGTGGAAAATCTGTAATGAACGTATTTAAAATACACATTTTAGGCCAACATCTTCTCAATTCCTAAGCATTTAGTATAATAACAGTTTTTAGAGATATTAAATGTTTCAGATGTCTGGTTCCTATCCACCACTGCTCTGAACAACTCTGACTTGGTATGTTTCTTAAGAACTGAGCATTTCAAAGCAGTCTAATGACTTTATTTATCTTAATGATTAAAAATAAAACCCACCTCTTATGCTGATACTTGTCTGCTCTAGCCAGAGCTTTGCCTGACCCACTAATGCGTCTGATCTGAAAGGGGGCAAAAAAAAACAAAAAAAATACAAATCTTTACTACAGCATTGTGATGCATCACAAGAAAAGCATTTCCATCTGTAATCTCTTCCCGACACTTAAACCACTGATTTAGTGGTTTGTGTTGAGAAGAGATTTTGTACTGACATTGTACTGCACAAGCTCAGATGAGGTAGTGACAAACCCACATGGAGTTTTCAGGACATGTGACATGCTGTCATTATCATCACTGCTTGAGACATAAGATGACAGAAACTGAACACCATTTCAGACATAACAGACTTGCAACTCACTCCTTTCTCCTCCAACTGTCGCAGTCGAGCTTCTAGCTTGGCTCTGTTCTCCAACCCCATCTCTGCATTTGTGTCTTCACCCAGAGCATCATAGCGGATGGCCAAGGCTGTCTTGGCTGCTAGCGTTCTGGATATCTTTCCCTTGTTTTTGGCTGTGGTCTGACCCACCAAGGACGCGTGGTAGATCAAACCATATTTCGGTGTGTCTCTCCGGGTCTTCAGCGCTCTGAACAAAGCTTTCTCTGCCCCTAGAATCTGCACTGTGGATGCAGGGTGCTTTGCCAAGTTCAGCAGTGAACCTGATTGAGGAAAGCAAAAAACAATTCACAAAGATTCACTTAAAGCTGTTAACTAATCTTATCTAGACCTGTCTACTACATGTAGCTAATAAAACATGATTTTTTTTTGGGCCTAAAGGAGAATTTCACAGATTTTAAAAAATTTCTACATATTTTACTTGGATTTAAGATTTAAACAGTCATTCAGAGTGGTTTGACGTGAAATGTACCATTCTAAATTGCCTAGTCAGAATTGTTCTCAGTAGTACTGAGAAACCAAAACATTTACTTCTAAAAAGCTCCCTCACAAAGTTGTTACATGAAATGGAGTTTTGAGGGCAAGTTTTGTCCTAAAACATCTTGTTTTTAAAAGTCTATTCATGGCAGAGAGATACTTGCAGTGTGTTGTAAGGCAAAATGATACCCAAAGGAAACTGAAATTTACCACAGCTTTACTATCACAAACATTACATATAAAAACTTAATTCACTGGTGGTTTTGGACAGTAAATAAAATTCCAAGTTTCTCTACAATGACCCACTTCACTTAAACACTTTGAATAACTGTTTAGATCTCTATGACTGAATTAGGCAGAAAATTTGAAAAATTGGTGGAACTGCCCTTTACATAGGGATCTACTACTGCCATGATTGTAAGCGGTTTTAACAAAGTGAACAACTGTCACAATACACTGAACTCACCTGCATGAGAGATGAGGCGGGCACCCACCAGCTCTCCCACCATAACTGTGAGATTTGGTGCGATAGCCATCATACGGTTTTTCAAGTAATCATACAGCTGAGAGCGATACTCTGAGATTTCAATCACCTACAGGAATTTAAACAAACAAAACAGGTTAATGCAGCTCAAGGTCATTTACTCTGATCACGCTGAACTGGACTCGTACAGTTTTGCTGCATTTTCACTCCAGCAGTTTTGTAACTGCCTCTGTAAATCCATTACAAGCAATGTGTGTTCAAAGCATACAGGTTTTCACACACCTGGTCACACAGGTGCATGATGTTGTTGATGTCCTCCTCGGACACTTCTGTTCCCATGGAGATCTCTGCGGCCAGTTTGACCTCTGCCTCCACCTCCTCTGGCAGCACCTCGGACAGGTCAGTGTTCGCCACATTTGTGCGGTCACCTACACACCATAAACAATAAGCCACAGAAAAAGTGTTTTAAAAAATGACAAAGTTCAAGTTCTGCCTGAGAGTCTAAAGAATGAGTTTTATAAAAGCAAGAACAGCTGAAACGCATCTTATCCCCCCACAATAAACATAGATCACGTCACATTTTTCCTGCTGCACTAACCTTCGTTAAATTTATTAACTTACAAATCAGTGACAAGTCAGAACTGGCTGATATCACTAGGATTCTGAATAACTGTGTGATTGCATAATGCAAACAAAAACAATTAGGTTGAGGAATAGTATACTATAAAATACTACATAATAAAAAATAAACTGTAGTTTTAGGCCAGAATGCCCTTCAAGTACATTGTATTACACTACTTAAAAGACAATTCTTGTTTCCCCCCCCATATTCCTTGTCTGAAGTGCCCACCTCAAAACACATCTAGTGATGATTGTTTAGGTCACCAAACACCAGCAGGTGAGAAAAATGAAAATTAACCACTGATATCCTTCAACTTCCCCTCTTACCACCCCCACCTATGATCATTTGTTTAATCAGTTAACTCAGAGACCCTCCCTGCTATCATGTTTCCTCATGGTATGGAGCAAAATGTGTTATGATCTCTGATTCACACTTCTTTTAAGTTCTAATGATAACATATACTTAGAAACCACGGCCCAATGCATTATATGGCCCAAGTACTCACCAATCTTGCGGACGCTCTTGCAATATGCCAGGTTGTCTGTGACGATCTTGCCTAGTTCAGGGAAGTGCCAGCCGTACCACTCACGACAGCGCATGATGTAGTTATTCAGCTCCTTGTCCAGGTCATCAAGGAGGGCTGAGGACAGGTCAGAAAAGATTTAAAGATGATTGTCATTGTCGTTATTTTTTTTAAAAAATCATTTTAACACAATTTTACAAGCTCAGATGAGGTAGTGACAGACCTTCACAGTTTTCAGGGTCTTGACTCTAAGTCATTATCATCAGTGCTCGTCAAAAAACACATTTAACAAGTTGCACTACAAGCCTGATTAGAAATTTAGAATAAAGAGGGACTCACATATGGCTTGAACAATCATGGTGTCCACCTTGTCTGGGCTGAACTTCAACTTGTACCGAGAGAGGCTAGAGTGAAGGGGGTGGGATATACATATAAATATATGCACCAGCACTAGCAAGAAAACATCAAACAGTCATTGGTCTGACTACTGTCTCAGTGGTAGTGACGAAAGGTGATTAATATCCTCAGAGCAGTCAGTAATGCACAATCAATCATTGACAGCAGTTCATAAAGTATTCAAGCCTGCATCTAAGTATGTACGTTATTCCTACCTGTGTGCAAGACCCAGTGACATGGCACTGATCTCTCTGGGAGGGAGGCCGGTGATGAGACCCTCCATCTGATTCCTGATACCCCTCATGAGCTCAGCTACTGCAGGACTGTGTACACAGCTCAGGTTCAGCTTTTCCTGGAGGGGGCAACAGAGAGACAATGTTCATACAGACCGCACAGAAAGAGAAGGTTTCCCTTCCCCTTTAAGTTTCAGTACAAGGTTGCATAAAGGAAACAGATATATACAGATAACTAGAGTAAATAAATTAAGGAAGAAGACGGAAATGTATGTGTGTGTATATAGATACGTATAGATTAGTTGTTGCTCTTAGTAAATGTATGAGAATAAGAATCAACCACAGGTAGTCACACCTACAGCCAAAGGCCCAAAGCTGCTGGTGCATGCAAAAGAGATGAAGTAGGCCACACTTTTCACTGGTTGGATCATTGCTTTGTTTTTAAAAGCTTCTTTTGTGACCAAAAAGGAGAAGAGCATGTTCAAATAAGTGAGTGGCCTAACCTGGCCTAACAAGACTGCAAAAGTGACGACACGTACACTACAGCTCAAATGTTTGCAAACAATGTTTCCAAAACTATAAAACCACTTTTGTTGCAGATAAAAGGATCCTAAAGTGCTAGTACTATTCATCTTCACAGGTCACAGCTGTACAGCACACAGTCGTATGCAAAAGCGTAAACACCCTGGTCAAATTGTACATCTGCTGATCTTCTGCAGAGAATCTAAACACGGTATTTTCTGCAAATTTTAGTACACAATTTTCTATTTTTGCTAAAACTGTGCCTAACAAAAAAAAAAAAAAACAAAAAAAAAAAAAACAAAGATGAGAAATAAATTACAGTAAGTTGTTCATTTAATAACTTAATACTGTAATAAGATGTCTTTTAATGTCTCATTTAGGACACTCAAATCTACTATGTATATTTTACTACTGTATACAAAATGACAAAGAAATAATATAAGCAATCTAAACCTTTGAGTGATGGTGTATAGTCATTATCAACTTTGTCACATCTGTTGAAAAAGAAATAATTATAAATAAATAAATAAATAAATAATAATTCTACACATTTGAAGAGCACTTACTTTGATGACTCCTCCCAGTTTAGCATCTGTTATTGCCAGCTGCTCGTGAGCATCTTTGGCCACTACTTTCTTCAGAACTTTTTTCAGACTCTTCCCGAGCTTCCCCTCCACCAAAGCAGTGGCAGCTGCAGAAATAACAGAATACCTTTAAATGTCTTTAACAAAAAAGCATGAGGAGACCCCAACATACTTCAAAAAAGAGCACAACATATCCTTGATTATGATGAATGTAACTGATATAACTGATATGCATTGTCCTGAACAGCTGTTGTCTCAGTGGTAGTGACGAATTACTGCTTAGTGACCTCATACTACAGTCAGACAAACAGATACATCATTGACAACAGCGCTAAGACATATCTGGACTTCTTTCAGGTATTTCTTACTAACATGGGCAACTGTGTATGATTTTTTTACTGTACCTGCCAGAGCTTCAGTTGTGTCCTGAAACTTTTCAAAGTGTTTCAATTTCACTCTGTAAGAAAGTTAACAAAAAGTTTTTTTGCTGACAATGTTCAATGAATCAATGATTACAATATGTTGAAATGACCACATCGTGTTAACAAACTGTGATTTATTTTAGCATAATTTAGATTTATTCAAAGTGCAGCTTTAAATTCAACACATTTATTCCTGATCCAGCACATGCAACTCACATTTTGTTGGCTTTTTCTGGCGTTTCAAACTCCTTCCACAGGCAGTCCACCTGCTGGAGCTTCTGCTCATCGAGGACCTGCAAAGAAAACGACGTTTTTAAGGAAAAATGACTTATACAGGGCTTTTTCAAACCAAACCCTTCTTTCCAGTGCACGCTGCTTCCCCCTGCTACATGCGGACACACTTTCTGGGCCACACAAGCGCTACTGAAGCCACATGGGCTTCTTTAGATAAGCTAAATTAGCCAACCATGTACTCGCAGCATGAATGCTTTAACTGTAATACACACCTTATTAAGTGGAGGAGTGCAGACGTGTATCTATATAGCGTCACTGTAAAACCAGTCCACACTGTAAAACTGGCTAAGTACCGTTAGCCTAGCCAAAATGTCACAACGTGGGTGCAGAGCAGGCCCGCATGTAATGTTAGCTACAGCCTCAGCTGTGATATTTACCAATGCCATATCTTCCTTAGTTATTCAGCATTACTGTTATGAGCCCAGTTAGTCGTATTGCCGCACATTTAACCAGGTTTACGCTACAAACTGCGCGGAAACTAGTACTTTACCACAGTTCGCTTATTAACCTGACCCTGCTAGCTTAGCTCCGTTAGCTAACCAGTTGTTGAACATAGCTCCAAGAAAGCGTAACGTTAATGTAGATGATTTAGAGCACGCTTACCTTGAAAATAGCATAGCCAGCCGCGGTCTCAAATAAAACCAACATCTTTAACTGCTTGTCGACTCTTTTTATTAGGACTAAACGCGCTCCCTGGATGAGAGCTTCTCTCCAGCCTCCCGCACGAACTTCTTACCACGCGGCGCACACGGCGGACCACTCGCGCATGCGCAGTCGGTCAGAGAGGCGGACTTGCATTTTCAGTCCAAAACCCACAAACTACTGTACTACACAGACTACACTAATGAAAGGACTTGTTTTGGTGATGCACTATTTTTGGCATACTTTTTAGTATGGTGGTATGCGGTTTTGGACACAGCCTGAGTAAATTAGGGAGTAAAAAGTGTCACTAATTTTCTTTTCATTTATTTTGATGTAACTAGTGTGGAACCGCCACTTGAAGAATCTATTTTCAGTGGTGGTCGAAGTACATAAACCATGTACTTGAGTTAAAGTAGAGATACCCAAGGTAAAATATTACTCCAGTAAAAGTAGAAGTTGTACTGCAAATGTACTTAAGTGTCAAAAGTGAAAGTATTATCATTTTTATTATCATTTTTGTAACAAGACTCTTGCTTTATCAACTAATTTTAGGTGAAAATACTCCAGTGTCACTCTTGTAACACCCATATTTTAATAGAATGTCACTAATTAGTCTGACACTGATGTCTATTAAAATGATCAAAAGCACAAAACACTGAAGGCAAACAATTTCCATTGGGTAGAACCAAGTGGCCATGAAATAACCTTTTGTGAACAAGTAAAGTTTCGGTTTTAGATTTATTTGCAACTTAGTTTAAATAAAAATGTAAAAGTTTAAGTTTAATAAAAACCTTGCTTTAAACTCAGGTTCACAAATGAGTTTTTCTTTACTATATTGCATCTGTAGGTCTCTGTTCATAAACATAAACTAGCCAAAATGAATTTACTATAAAATGAAATAGTGTTTGTATAAATCAAGAAAAAAGAAACACGCCAGTCACAACCGCATATGTGTACATATTTCTATATTATGGTGTATTTACACAAAGTTAGGTTAGAGTCAGGCGTTTCTTCCATCATTTATGTCGGAATAGACACTCCCAAACTTTTACGCTGCTATGCTGACGTTGAACAGTTTGCTTGCACTGGGTCAGTATGTCCAACAAGCTCAAAACAAAGTGCGCTGTGCCCTGATTGGTGTTCTAGCTTCATGCTTCTTTCGTTTAGACATGTTACACACATAAACCAAAAGGAACTACAGATTTTGCATAATGTAGTGGAGTAAAAAGTAAGATATTTGTCTTTGAAATGTAGTTGAGTGAAAGTAAAAAGTCACCAAAAATGGAAATACTTCAGTAAAGTACAGAACACAAAAAAGTACTTAAGTACAGTAACGAATTACATTTACTTAGTTACTGTCCATTACTGCCTATTTTTAATATCAATTTGACATACTTTTATTTTGAAGTACAATATTATAATTTGGGGATTTTTTCTCATTATTTTGAGATGAACTGCTTTAGTTATTACATATCACTTCATTTAATAATAATTCCATAGACTTGATATATGTAGATATGTCTATTCTGTGGAATAAAAAACTATACCACATCTGTTTTATGAATGCAGAGTTGGGCTTAGACTATTGCATATACTTATCTCGCTCAATAAAATCTCAACTGACCTTTTCTCTTATATGACCTTTTTATCCTTATCACCAAATACTTGACGTGACACAATGAGATAATAAGATTAGGGGATTTGGACCTCTCTGGTGGAAATATGTAATTGCATGCAACGTGCGGAAGAACATGTGACGTTGGTTGTGCTTTGGTCTTTGCAGCTGCCTAGGGCCCCCATCAGTCAAGGGCCCCAAGAAAAAATAAATACTGTACGTACTGATGTTTAATAACCTATTCCGAAATACATATATATAAATACATTTAACAAATGTTATTTGCTGTTAACAAGTACAACAGCTTTCAGCTGTTATTTGTGATTGTTAGGATTTATTGCGTCAATAAAAAAGTCCATTTATGGACAGAGAAAAAGAGGGAAACATGAAATATTTATTTTCCAAAGTGAGTTCGAGGCCAGTCATCTTTCTGACCGTTATGTGGTAGCTAGTTTAGCAGGCCACTCTCTCTAAGAACTGAACACTTTATCAGGCTAACATATGTAAACTAAGCAATTAAATTTTACCATAATTTATCTCTCTCTCTCTCTCTCTCTCTCTCTCTCCCTTTGTCTCTCTCTCATCTAATCTGTTTCCATTTCTACGTGATATCACTGACCAAGATATCGTTGTTTACAGTGTAGGCGCACTCAAACAAAAATGAACCAACGGGGCTGTTTGACTTGCAAACTGAAAATATGTTGACTTTATATAAGTGAATTGTGTTGTCTTTAAGTAACTGGTTTACCTAAAATGGACCAAAAGTAATGAAAGTACATTTCAATGAATGGAAACACGGAATTGGTTTACACTGATCTAAAGAGAGTTTTACTCCAATGAAACTCAAATAAATGGCACTGAAATGTGTTTGTTCCATCAACTATTGAACCTAATGTTGAGGTAACTGTGTGACTCTACTACATTTGATTGAGTGGAAATGTGTGGCATAATTGAATTAAGTTCATATAAGAATTTATTTTTTGGAGTGTGGTTGTGCCACTTGGAGCTCAGCACCTCAACTTAGCGTGCATCCAATGGGCCTCATCCCTGTCTTTTGTCTAGAGCCCTAGAATCACTAAGTCCACCCCCACGCATATGATGTTAGTTCAGTACACAGCAGTGTTAGCTTGAATATAGCAGTATTCATATTTTGACTCATTAACCTTCTGAGGTCCACAAACTTGCCTGCACATCAAATTGGATGTTATGTATATATGTTTCTCTATCTTCGTGATACGTCGCAGAAATACAGTTCAAACATTTCCTGCATCTGTAGAGTGGCCTTTTGATTCCATCTTATCGCAAGATGGTACATGACTCACATCTGGAGTTATGAGGCTGTGAAAAGGGGTTGAGATACATGGGATCTGCCTCTCACCATGTGTAATAGGTAGATTTGTGTGTGGGCCTACATTTTGTGTGAAACTGACCAATAGACTCTCAGGAAATCACTAAGGAGTGACCCTTCACATCAGAAACCCTTCAATCTTCATTCAGTCCACATTGGAGACAAAAGAAGCGGTGTGCAAAAAGTTTACAGCCGCTGAACTTGCTGTAGCAGTTTCGGAACTGTTTCGGTAGTGACAAAGATAACGGAGCATTTTGATATGAAACATATGGGTATCATGTTGTTTGCAAGAGAATTTAAAGAAGATTGAGAAAATGCCCACCAGACCCCAGAGGGTTAATGATCTCTTAATTTGTAATGTAGATGATGCAAAGACAATCAAAGGAAAAATATACAAAAGATTTTGCCTTTTGAACCTTTTTGTTTACCACAGGGCACAAAAGAGATAACTTTTAATTGGAGAATCAATGTAAATAAATAGCTGGCAATTTGTAAATCAATTATTTTAAACATTACATATCAAACCATTTATTTACCCAGAAGTTTGGAAAATCCAATTGTGTGCCAGTTTCCAACTTTGACCAACCTAAAATGCTTAAAATGCAATTTGTTTTAATAGGGAATTTTAACTACAACACAAATATACACATCGCTGTTGTCAGAAGGAGACCTCATTTCTCCATTTTTGTAATTTCTCAATTTTTGACATAATTTGAAAATGCTTGTTGCCCTTTACATTTTGTATACATTTCATGATGAATGGACCAAAGAAATGGCCCAAAATGACTTGGAAAAGTGTGGTTACACTGACATACATGAAAAGTAAATTACAGTCTTTCCTTCTCTTAAAAAGTTGTCATTTCAGAGATATAAGGTTTTGTTTTAACAGGAGTGATATATAATTATATAATGAGTACAGTAAAGTACTTTATAAACATATTGTAGTGTGAAGAAATACTTTATAAAAGTATTATAGTGTCAAGAAATATTTACATGTTAGTTTTAGGCTATTGCTCTTCATTTATTTACAGGGTTATCCCACTTCTGACACCAACGGTAGTGTTCACTGCTATTAAGGGACACAGCTCTTGCATAAGTCATGGTGCTTTATTCTCCAGCGGTTATAGGCCACTTTACTAACAGCCCGTTCACTACTCAGCTCATGTCTGACTGCCTCTCTTTTTCCACTCCTATATACATATCCCTTCATAATAGAAGTCCTTAGCAGAATAACCCTGTGAATAAATGCGGACAAACAAATAACCTAAAACTAAAATGTAAACATTTCTTGGCATGTCCCTTTTGATAGCGGTGAATGCCACAGTATAAACAGCATGTGATTTAGGAAAATGAACAAAAAGCTAAAAAGTGGGAGAAAAATTAATATTTCTTTCCATCTATCATAAATTAGCGATAATATTACGTACTTTAATAGTTTGATTTTTGCGAAGGAAGCCCTCCCACGCAGTCTTTACGGGATTTTGTCATCATCTATCCCGCCCCTTCTTCCAGTGAGATCACCGCTGCTGCCGTGAGTGTGTACGAGAGGCAACTGAAAGCATAACCTATACTGCAGCCACACTTACATTTGTGAGTAGAAATAATATTCGGGAAGGGCTGAACGTTGTGGAGTACCATGTCGGACACGGTGAGTATTAAGAGCACGTTTCGGTATTTCGGTAAAGACTGGAAGCGAACAGCTGGCGCCCTGTAACAGCGCTGAAATAGGAAAATACGAGGGCCCGCTTAACTAACGTTAGCCAGCTAGCAAGTCTTTCACTGCCCTACTAAGACTCAGGCTAGCTGGAGCGAATAGGTAGCTCCTCGCCTTTCATGCCACTTGTTTTATCTTTTTATTCTAACCAGGCGGTTTCCCTTTATTGTAACTGTAAATTTTGCATTTAACGGTTTCGGGTCGTGTTAGCTTACTGGTTAACTTAGCTGCTTAGCAAATTAGCTTCGCATTCCAGTATAAAGCCTTATAGGTTAGCATTTCAGCTAAGAAGCTAACCTGTAACGTTATTGGGGCCCAGAAAACAAAGTTTACAGTCAGAGTGTCCGTTGGTCACCTGTCCGCTCTGTTGTGATAGTGACACAGGGACAGTTGAACTTGACCAGCTATCAACAGAAGGAAAACATTGTACGTGTTAAAGTGAGCTAGCCAATGTTGAGATGTTATCAAAGACCGCTGGCTATAATGCAGTCCGTTAGCGCAGAGCTAACCTAACCTAACCTAGCTAGATAGCACGGCGGACTTCAGGCATGTTTACAGTGACTTCAGCTCTGAACCGCGTTCAGTAAAACCACAGACTTGGTCCTAATTCTGCGCATTTTCACTCCAACAGGAGACCAAACCTTCAGGTGACGGAGGAGAGAAGAAGGACGGAGAGTATATTAAACTGAAAGTGATTGGTCAGGTAAGAGGAGACTGCTTTCAGACTTTAAGGGGAACTACACCAGTTTTTCAAAATTTGAACAGGTTTAAATAAGATCTAAACATGTGAAATGCTTCGTTATAGAGAAACTTACTTGGAATTGTGCAGAGTGGTGGTGGTAGGAACCAGACATCTATAGAGTATAATGCCTCTAGAAGCTCCCTCACAAAAAGTTATTACACAAAATGGTTATGAATACGCTGCCTGATACCTGAGACATTGTTTTTATGATTTTTTTTAATAAAGTTTTGGCCTAAAAGTATTGTTAATCGATTTACTTTAATCTGGTCTCCAAAAAACATTTTTTTTCAGAATTTCCACTATTCTACCATTGTGAACATTACATATAAACACTTAAACACATGTAGGTTCACTGCTGGTTTTGGATAAAAATATAAAAGGTCTGTATTTAAGCTGATAATGTAGAGAACCATGGTTCCTACCACACAGTTGGTAAGTTTTTCCACAATGAGCAACTTCACATCAAACCACATTAAATGACCTTATTTCCATCTCAACCCATAAATTATGCAGAAATATTGAAAAATTGGTAGCATTCCCCTTTAATAACTCAAGTCTACTAAAGCCTAAAACGAGGAATGGGCAGTATGGCAAAAATGAAATTCTTGAAGACATCTTTTCAATTCATAATATTTAGCTTTTTGTGTTTGATAAGTAGCAGATTAAAAAGAACCAGTAGTGCCACATTTAAAAATTACAGTACAGTGATTTTTAATCAACATTTCATATACTGCACTGCTCTAAATCCAGAAAAACAGTACTAATTATGCTCTCTTGCTAATGAAACATGCAGTTGGTCATTGTTCTTTAAGTATGGATCACATCCACTGTGTACTTGGTAAAGAGTATTGTGACCTAATGTGATGTAAATTATCACATTAAATGATAAATTCATCGTATTGCCCACCCCACCTACACATCTCCAAGGAAGACTCACAGTGTTTTAGAAACCCATCTTTGAATTAAAGAAAATAAATACATTTAATTACATCATTACATCATGGAGTGCAGACTGCCTGAAGAGATGACAACTAACCTGATCCGCACTTCTCATGATCTTATGTGATGTTTCTGTTTCAGGACAACAGTGAAATTCACTTTAAAGTGAAGATGACGACGCATTTAAAGAAGCTTAAGGAATCATACAGTCAGAGACAGGTAAGATATTATAACACAAACCGAACTACTAAAGTGATGCACATTCTGTGAACCGTGGTTCCATGGAGTGCTTCGCTTTACTTTCGTTCTTTAAAGGACGGCTCTTGATGTAATATCAGTTGTTTAAAGTTGAGACTACTCAGTTCAGGTGAGTCTGAGTCAGAACTGAAACTGAATAGCCAGAACTTTTCAAAAGGACAGCACATATTCATGTTGTTCAGATCCATTTAGTCTAATATCTGTCTCTGTATTTATCTGTGTGTCACACAGCACATGTTTCAGCTCTGCTCTTTTGTCAGTGACTTTGCTCCAGTTTATAATTTGTAAACATTGTGTTGTTACGCATAGTTGGATTTGACCAACATTCCAACTGGCAAGAAGCTGTGTGTGCTGTCATAACGAACATACATACACAAAAACAAATGTTAACTTTTATTAAGACAACAGGAGTTTAGCTATGCATGTGACTTCTTCTTACCACATGGAATATATGTTATAATTATGATTTACAAGAATGGCATAGTATTATGATGTTGTTCAAAGGAAGCATACAGCTAATTCTGTTGTCACTGTGTTTCTACAGGGTGTCCCCATGAACTCTCTAAGGTTTCTTTTTGAAGGACAGAGAATCACAGACAACCAGACCCCCAAAGAGGTATGATCTCCAACCTTCTGTTCCCTGGATTAATAGTGCTGCACATGTTGAACTAGGCCTGAGTCAGTGACAGAATCTTCTTATTTAGGTAACCGTGTGGCGTTGTAAGCAGCTAAACGTTTTTTCTACTTTTTTGTTCTTTGCTTTTACCTGTTTTATTTACATTCCACATTTTCACATGATCATATTGATGATGATGATGATGGTGGTGGTAATAAAAAAACACTTTTTCTTCTGGTGATTTTGCAGTGGTTTTTAACACTTAAGAATACACAGAAGCAAACACATTCATTGTGTGTGAGTTTAAATTTAACAGTGCAGATCAGTGGAAGTTGTGTCGATCGTATATTCTGATCTTTAATTTGGCCACAAAACTGGAATTAAGCTATTAAGAACGAGATTGAAAATTTCACACAAATTTCACAGTCCAAGGCCTTTTTGTTTGAGGCTTTGTTGTCTGTGGGAGCTTAGCCTGATGCTTTTTTGTCAGAGACTGTTTTGCCTGATGTCAGTTTGTAGGAGAGCTGTGATGACTGTGTTCATTCCAAGAGTCCAAGCTGTTTCGACTGATATCTGTGGTGTTACGATGTCTTAAAATGTACATTGTACTATAGGTGGCTGTTTGTACATGCATATCTGCCAGACTAATGGCACATAGTGCCTGACCCCAACTCATTCAACCAGGGCATTTCAAAAGCTGTATTTCTAGAGCAACCTGTATATGCTAGATACAATAAAATTGGTGTTAATGAAGGATGTCACATCACTGTAATTGAGGGCTGTTACCACAGTAACCTGGTTACCTGTCACAGGGCACAATCCTGGGAGCAACAACAGCTCAGCCATGAAGTGGTGCATCACACAGACTCACAGAGCAGGGCCACTGAGTGCTGAAGCGCGTAGAAATCTCCTGTCCTCTGGTGTATCAGTCGCTCCAGAGTTCCAAACTGCTTCTGGAAGTAATATTAGCACAAGAGCTGTGTGTTGACAGCTTGAACAGATGAACTGGAACATCAGTTGTAAGCCAGGCCTTCTCGTCCAGCATCAGTGCCTGACCTCACAAATGCTCTTTTGACTGAATGGTCACAAATTCCTCCAGACACGCTCAGATCTTGTAGCATTCAGCAAAGAGTGGAGCCTGTTACAGCCATGATGGGGGTAACTCCATAATAACGCCCATGGTTTTGGGATGGGATGTCCAACAAGCTCATATAGGTGTGATGGTCATGTGTCTGCATACTTTTAGCAATATTTTACACCCAGGAATAGCTACAATAGCTTAATATTGCACTTCAAATATTAGTCTACTTTAGAGCAACAGCTTGACTGAACATTAACAAGGTAACAAGCAAATATTACCCAGTTCATTTTTTGTATTGAGGCAGGGCAACCTTACTCTTTCTTTTCTATAGAGTCTATAAGATCCTAGTTCTGCCACTGATGACAATATAAGATTTACATCTTCTTCATTGTTCTTTTTCTAATCACTCTCTTTCTCTGCTCTCTCTCTGCAGCTGGGAATGGAGGACGAGGATGTTATCGAGGTGTACCAGGAACAGACCGGCGGCTTTTGGAACGACTAGACCTTTACTTCAACTCTCTTCTCTTTAAATCTTAATTTTGTATGTATGACGTTTATTTCATCTGTTTCCTTTTGTGCTTCTCTCAGAGGGAAATGGAAAAACCATCTGGATCAAAGCGATACTCCGCTAGGGCTGCTGCAAGTGAGGGAGAGAGGCAAAAGAAATAAGGAAAGAGGAATAAACAAGCTATTCCTCCTCCCAAACCCCTCTCTCTCTCTCTCTCTTTTTCTCTCTGTCTTTTTCTTTCTCAGTCCCTCCCTCGTACACTTGGACTCTGGATATGTGCTGTGTTGCAATGACCTATAATAGAACTTGTTGCGTTTTTGCCCCAAAACCTCAGAGTAAATTCTCATATTTCCCCATCAGTTCAGACGTTGAACTACAGAGCATGTGGCTCATTTATTTCTTTCACTGACGTACTGCTTCACTGGAATTCACTTGTCCAGAACAGAGTGAGAGAACATGAGGTGTACTACATCTGCTCCGTCGTTACAACTGAAAGCAGCTTTCGATTTCTATATTGATACGATGCTGACCCTGTTCATGTTGGTAGGCCTATTACACCTTTATAGCCGCATTCATATAGCAACAATGTGTGGTTTTAGCTTTTGATACAATGCTAGGATTTGGGGGGCTTTACGTGTAATTGTTTTCTGATTCTAGAAAGTGTGAGGTATGCTTTCCCTGTATACTTATAACAACTGTGTTGAGATTTCCACACTGTGAGCTGCAGAAGGGAAACCCTGGTGTTGTAACGTGTGTGATCAGTGGTTTCAGTTGCATGTGTTTGTCTCAGTTTTATGTTAAAGGATTTTGTATGTGCTTATACCCTTGTTGAATTTATTGTCTGCAATTTTAAATATCTGTCCTTCTATTCAGCTGCAGTTACAGAATGCAGAAGGCAGCAAGCCCCATTTAGCTTAGCTTAGAGTCCCCTGCCGCAGACTTGAGAGCTTATTTAACAATGTAAGAATGATCTCTGCAATGATCAGCACTCAGGGGCAACGCTTGTCAACACAAAAAAATAAATACAGTGATTGCACACAATAAATGTTACTGCACATTTAGTAGTTTTTAACTGAATTTTCTCTTCAGTGTTAGATTTAGTCAATGCCAATTTCCACAGTCTTTCTAAATCTTCCTCTGTTGTATGGCATCTGGCAGCTTAAAGGCAAGACACGCTTTCTCCAAGATGTGAAGCTGGCCTCTGCTTTTTTCTGCTGCTCACGCAACATCGTAGGGCGCCTGAACACAGCTGGAGGAGAGCACTGATTGCCTACTGCTGTTTAGTTGCCCTGGTAGACACCCATGATCGGTCGGTTATAGAGAGGACTAGAGCACCCGTCCCACTGAGAGAGTTGCAGGTCTGGTTGCACTCTCTTAGATAGACGGCTGTGGCATTGTCAGGATTCAGCCTTGGTTGCGCCACTCAGGAGCCAGCTCTTTTTTTCTTTTTCAATTATGTTAAACGGGGAGGGAATTTTGGTCCAGATGGTTTGTGGACATAGAAAGATTATTATTTTTCTTTTGTCTTGTTTTTTAAATAAAATGTGTCAAAATAATGTACTCATTTGTGGTGTTTTTTTCCATGCAGGCTTATTCCATATTCACTTAGCTCACTCTTCTCTGAATGTTATTGTAAACAAACTGGCTGCAAAAGTAGTTTGAGGTTATTCATAATTTAGCCACTAGGTGGCAACAGTCGACCAGACTGAAAGACACATTTCCTGAACCTCCCAGTTCTCATTCACCGTTCTGTGGTGAACATGGCCCAAAGAGGTCATACATCAGTAGGTCATTAGTAGGGCTGGGTGTTCAAACTTATTTCCATTCCTTATTGGTAACGACCGAACTACTTCTGTACTTCCCAGTAATGAAAAATTCTAGATCAATCCTGTATTTCAATACCTGAGTAGACAGTCCCAGCATCTGTAAGCCAGTATGAATGCTTGTTCCAAAATCTAGACTGCTTATGGACCGTCTATTTGCATATGTATGCATGTTGTCAAGGCCAGCACTTCTTAGTTTATCTGTATTCTTGTTACTGTGAGTAAATACATCCGTTCAGTCACTTCTCATTTGAGTTGGGGAATATGGCAGTACTTTATCGTTATCATAATAAAGTTTATCATGATAATACGCTTTTCTGAGCATATCGTGGATATTGCTCCACACTTAAAGAGCACTGACAAATTGCAAGTTTCATTGCAAAGAAAACGTTGGACCTCATTAACCAACCACCAAAAGAAATTTCTTCTTAAAACCCATTTATACAGTTTTCAGAAGATTCTGATGTTGACCAGTGTTTTCTAAATTGGGATTTGTTCTTAGGTAAGAACAGAATCTATGAACACTCAAGAGCACAAAAATGTGAACTACACCAATCAGGCAGAACATTATGACCACCATGTTTCTACGCTCATTGTCCATTTTATCAGCTCCACTTACTATATAGGTGCACTTTGTAGTTCTACAGTTACAGACTGTAGTCCATCTGTTTCTCTGCCCCCTTTTACCCTGTTCTTCAGTGGTCAGGACCCCCATGGACCCTCACAGAGCAGGTACTATTTGGGTGGTGGATCATTCTCAGCACTGCAGTAACACTGACATGGTGGTGGTGGTGGTGTTAGTGTGTGTTGTGCTGGTCTGAGTGGATCAGACACAGCAGTGCTGCTGGAGTTTTTAAACACCTCAGAGTCACTACTGGACTGAGAACAGTCCACCAACCAAAAATATCCAGCCAACAGCGTCCTGTGGGCAGCGTCCTGTGACCACTGATGAAGGACTGGAAGATGACCAACACAAACTGTGCAGCAGCAGATGAGCTGTCGTCTCTGACTTTACATCTACAAGGTGGACTGACAAGGTAGGAGTGTCTAATAGAGTGGACAGTGAGTGGACACAGTGTGACTCCAGCAGCATTGCTGTGTCTGATCCACTCAGACCAGCGCAACACACATTAACACACCACCACCACATCAGTGTTACTGCAGTGCTGAGAATGATCCACCACCCAAATAGTACCTGCTCTGTGAGGGTCCATGGGGGTCCTGACCACTGAAGAACAGGTTAAAAGGGGGCTAACAAAGTATCCAGAGAAACAGATGGACTACAGTTTGTAACTGTAGAACTACAAAGTGCACCTATATAGTAAGTGGAGCTGATAAAATAGACAATGAGCTTAGAAACAAGGAGGTGGTCATAATGTTCTGCCAGATCAGTGTACTCTGCGGTTTAAAATAATGAATCTGACGTAGACTTTTGCTTAGGACCTTTCTCAAGAACAAATTTAAAAATAAACTTAGGAAGATATTGATGAATAGAATATGAGTGATATGTAATATGAATATTGATGATGAATATGAGTCCCATACTAAGTTCTGTTGAATTGGTTTTAATGCAGTGCAATAGAACACCCACCCTCAGTCTGTCATTGATAAGAAGATATTGAAATTACGGTATCAGCCTGGTATCCATATGAAAACAATTAAATCATTCCTCAGGCCTTAGTAGCATTGACTACTGTTGATTTTAGCCCAGAAATGTGTACTTGTCGTAGGAGTACCTAATGAATGTCACTTTAACCTGGTAGGCCTGTACATGGTCTCTTTCAAAGACAGGGTAGAGTTGCAGTAAGAGCCTGTTCAGTTTAAAGGGCCTGATTGCAGTCAGCTCTGGATGTTAATAGGGGAAAAGAAGGAGAACGTGTTACGTGAGAGCAATGGAGTGGAAAAAGGGGGCAGAGTGGGGTGAAGGATGAGGAATGCAGTGATAAAGATGGGGGGTAGAGCAGTGGAGGAGAAAGATGGATTGGAGTCGAGGGAGTGAGAGGAAGCAAAAACACGAGGACAACGCCCATCTGAATGTGAGGCAGCCCCAGGCTTCTTCAGTGTTTTCTGCCAAGGATGAGTTTCCTCTGCTGAGATTATGTTCATCTGTTAGTTTTATTCTTGGAGCAAGTGGCATTTTCCTTTAAGGCTTAATAGGAACCCCTCTTGTGTTTACAGTAAACAACATGCTTGTGAAACACATCACAGACAAGTGAAAGAGACACTGTACGGCTGTATGATGTGAGGGGTGCTTACATATTAGACCTGTAAGCTGGGTTCCTTTCTGCAAGGCTGCTATAGCTGAAACCCAACGGGAAGATCGTATTTCTCGGCACACAAGGCCTGAACACTACCAGATGAGGGCTAGCTAGGAATGGGGGAAGGGGGTATGCGAGTGTGTGTTGGGGAGTGGGGGGATGGGTGTAGAATACCTATGAGCTCATGTCTGTGTCTAAGTACAATTTCTTTGTATGGGAAATGAGTACAGTGAGGCAGGTTTTTAAGGATTGCCCTTTCAACGTGTAGTCTTTGTTCTTCAATCAGATGCAGGGCCTTATGGGAAGAAGTGAAGTTCAGAGGTAATGAGAGAGAACGCTTAAAAAAACAATGAAATGAGAAATGAGAAAATAACCCCTCTCGTGAGCAGAAACACCATAGCAAACATCACAGAAACGGCTGCTCTGTGTTATATTATTATGTGCTAATGTGCAGGCCTACGTGCCTTGGGAGCCTTATAGGAAAATATTATATATCCGCCAAGAATGTAACTCAGGGCATTTCGCAGCACTGTGTACAATGTCCTTGTTATAACTCTCTCAACAAGAGAACAGAAACTGGATAGCTGGTCATACCACTGGGGCCATCTGTTGGGACAACTCTCCACATTGGGTAAACATTGCTGAAACAATGCCTGACAAAAGTTAAGGCGGTGTCTCTGCAACGGGTATCGATCCAATTTAGGGAATTGTATCTCGTGGGACCGAGGCAGAAAAACCTGGGGAAGGGGTTACAGTTACCTGAGACTCTGTCCGGGTGTTTTTTCTCAGGGACGGCTGAGAAAGAGCAGCACCTGGGAGGCACAAAGGCTTACGGATCTAAACACAAACCGACTTTTTCAGGCCATTGTAATCATTTCGCCGAGGGCATGTTTCTACAGGAAGCTAACCAACAAATGTGCCCTGTCAGTAAATAGATGCTGACAGGGGATTATAAATTACTTTGGTTTACGTATAGCGCTGGCTCTCATTTTTAGTCACCCTAGGCTGTGTCCTTCCTGACTGGGACTGAGGAATTGCCCGCCCCTGCTATGGACAACTGGTCAGTGCACCTGTGCTTGACCAGTTGTGGCACCTCCGACAATGTCAGCTCAGTCTGCCTTTCAGCCGTCGAACGTACATCAACAGGCAGCAGTGTAGCAACTTTAGGGCTACGATTAGTCAAAGTCGATTCGATTATGGTAAAAGTCGATGCACAGTTTACTAAAACAAAAGCGTTGCATGTGTATTTGATAAACAGGATGCATCACATAGACAGACCTGAAAGACAGCAGAGCTGTGACGGGTCAAAGTGATAGGAAACGATAGAAAACAATGATTTGATTAGAAGATTAATCAAATAATAGTCAACTACTCGATTAATTGTGGAAATTGGGCTCCAAATACCAATAATTTCTGTATGCTACAATTCCTGTTATTTAACTACCACAGTAACTTCCTGGTGCTTGCAGGCGTGTAGCAGGCAAACTCGAGATGTTTAAAATTCTTAACTTGGCTGACTTGCGTTAGCTTTACACAGGGGCAGTTCACCATAATTAGTTTCACTGGAATGCTGTAGACTCCCTCACTTATTGTCCACGGCGCTCGCTGGGTGGAGAGCTTGAATGTGCGTCTCTTCAGATGACTGTTCTTACAGCTTATCATACTCCGTAGATTCAGTTAGGAATTGCTGGAATGTTTCATGGCCACCCAATGAGTAACACAGGAGTTTAGCGTCAGATGGTTTGTTAAACTGCACTAATATTGTCATTTAGTGTATATTTTCTATGGTAATTGTGATCAAACACTATCGATCATGAAAAGTCACACTATGATTATTTCACTACACCGTAGTGTATCTAAAAGGTCAGTTCAAGCTTCCCCAACTGTCCAGGCAACTCTAGCCCCCTCTGACAAAAGCCTTCCCTCTGGATACTGTAACCCCAACAACCCCCCACGCCTTCCCAAAACACAAACAAAAGGGTTAAGATTTACCTTAAACCAAAGAATGGTGAGCTATCGTATTTCACCAGGAGAGGAAGGGTAAGGATTGTATGCCTCAGTGCATCTTAGGACTTCCTGTTGTCTTAAAGGCAGGGTGGCAAACTTCACGCCACCTCTGATTATCTCCTGTTATTCTTGGCTATTGTGTAACACCTCTCTCTCCTTCTTTCTTAAAAAAAAAAAACAAACATTTACTCTTCCTCCATAATTCACACTCCTGTCTATTTCTGAGCCTCTTCCCTCATCCTTGCTCCACAGAGCGTTCTGTAACGTCACTCAATTGACTGCCTAATGTTACAGCAATTAGGCAAATTGAGTTTTTAGCGATTTCTAATTATACAGGACCACTTTTTTCTGCAAATAATGGAATTCATAAAAATAACTCAGCAATCCTATATAAATCTTCTTGTAAATATACAAATAAAACGTCTAGAGTGAAACAATTAAAATACCCAAAACACTTTAGCTACAATATTTATCTGAATGTGAAATCTTACTGTTTACACAAGCACTAATAACATTCCACTCTTATGGACTGATTGTACCATTATTAGAATATATTGTTAATACTTGCAACGTACTAACTCAATGGGCTCCTACTCAAAATGCTTGTAAATTCAAGAGAACTACAGTCAGTAAAAACGTTCAAAGGAACAAAGACAGCAGGTCAAACAAAAACAAAAAGCAGCCCGTTCTAAAAATCTAGTCACTTTATTAAGTGAAACTGCTGAGTGAAGAGTATGATCTTAAAAATGAGATTTTTAATAAATACATGTCGTCTTAGAACAGTAACATGACATTTAAACAAAACCTGGTAACGGTTTGTCCCCTATATGCATGTACAAACTTTGTACCACTTGTACCACTGTAGTTTATACTCCATTTTTAACCTCAACAATCATGTGTGTGGCTTTAAGGCCCAAGTCAGTTTGAGTGTACTTCGCATTAATCTGTAAAAAACTGGTCTTTTACACTCAGATGAACCTAATGTAACTAGTTCTAATGAAACCATTAAGCAACAGACATAGATGGATACAAAAACCTGTAGTGTGTGTGTGCCAAAAATGGATGAAGCAAACACTGAACTATGGGGACTGGTCAATATTACAAGGCACAAGATTAATATACAAACATTTTTGGCCATTGCAGAGATTAAAAAAAAAAAAAAAAAGGTTACTATTTTCTCATCATCAAAAATGTCATCAATAAAATTTTCTCCATCAATATTCAAGATAAGAAATGTCCTTAGTGTTCAAACAAAATGTAAAAAAAGGAGGCACCAGACAGTTATTTTAAAAACCTCTTTTGAATATTAAAAAAAAGTCGTTTGAAGTTGAAGTCATGCAAAAGAGTTCAGAGAGAAGTGTAGACAAAGTCAGGGCCAAAGTTCAAGTATTTAAGTGTCATAAGGCAAGCTTTTTTTGGTGTAAGTGGATTATCTGAGCAAGCTCATCCTGTGTTTCTCCACTGGGTAATGTCCTTCAGAACGGTCACACTTTTTTAATCCACACTGTAGTTCATGACCTGTAGTGTGTCTCACAATCCTGACTGATTATTATCCATACTGACGCCGTTTCACACCGTCGTTTCTCCCTGGCCATTTCCCAGGCGTTTGTAAAACCTGCGCCACGACTGAAGGGTCTTCCCGGACCAGATCCAGAACCCAGACGTGATTCCCACAATCATGGTCATGAGGTATTTAATCATGAAGACGGTAAAATCCGGTGACATGGGTGCGAAGTTGGAGGCCGGGCAAGGCACAGCGAAGCGCTTACATGTCTGCATGTGCCACGTCTTCTCCCACTGCTCACGAAACGCCTGCTCGTAGAAGTAGCAGGCGATGACGATGGTAGCTGGAACGGTGTAAAGTACACTGAACACGCCAATCCTCACCATCAGCTTCTCCAGCTTCTCCGTTTTGGTACCATCGTGCTTCATGATGGTCCTGATCCGGAAGAGCGACACGAAGCCAGCCAGCAGGAAGGACGTGCCGATGAAGAGGTACACAAACAGCGGGGCGAGGACGAAACCACGCAACGCATCTACGTTGTAGATTCCCACAAAGCACACGCCCGTCAGCAGGTCGCCATCCACCTGGCCCAGGGCGAGGATGGTGATGGTCTTCACAGCAGGCACGGCCCACGCCGCCAAGTGGAAGTACTGCGAGTTGGCCTCAATGGCCTCATGGCCCCACTTCATGCCAGCTGAGAGGAACCAGGTGAGGGAGAGGATCACCCACCAGATGGAGCTGGCCATGCCAAAAAAATAGAGAATCATGAATAGGATAGTGCATCCCTCCTTTTTAGTACCCTGAGCCACAGTCTTATACGCGTCCTCCCTGAACTTATCGATGCACACCACTTTGTCCTCCAGGAGAAATCCGATGACGTAGGCCACCGCCACCATGAAGTAGCAGCCAGAGAGGAAAATGATGGGCCTCTCTGGATAGCGAAACCGGCGCATGTCCACAAGGTAGGTGAGGACCGTGAACAGGGTGCTCACACAGCACAGGATGGACCAGATCCCAACCCAGAGGCGGCCAAATTTCACCTCCTCCTCCCTGAAGTACATGAGGCCGTGTGATTGCGAGTGCTCGCAGGGCGCCCCGCAATCCTTGGCCCCCAAGAATTTGTAGTTGAGGTAGGAAGGCACGGCAAGCTGAAGGGGGCACATGAAAGGCTGGCCAGGCCATTCCGTGCCTGGGCGCGGCGTAAAGTGACCTGGCGCTAGCAGCGTGGGTTCTGACGTGGGGCTGCTGGGGTCTGAAGTGTTCTGGCCCACGCAGATTTCCCCAGCACCGTGCACGGGGAAAGCCTCACAGCGCAGACGCTCAGGCCACTGGAAGCCAAACTTGTTCATGAGCGCCTCACAGCCATGGCGGGCACGCTCGCACAGTGACCGGCACGGTGGGATGGCCTGCTCCAGCACGGTGCACACGGGCGCATACATGGAGCACAGGAAAAACTTGAGGTCCGCCGAGCACTGCACTTTGACCAGTGGGTAGAACTGGTGCACCTCCAGGCCAGCATCCTCTTGGTTTGCGTGCCCCAACAGGTTGGGCATAATGGTCTGGTTGTACTGGATGTCCGTACAGAGAGGGATGGAGATGGGCTGGCAGAAGCCATGCTCGGGCACCGAGATGCCCTTCTCGCCGTGGTGCTGGCCAGCACCACAGCAGAGCAAAAGGGCAAGCACGCAGAGCGCCGCCTGGCTCGAACAACTGGCTCTCCAAAGCGCCATCATCGGCAGTCTGGAAGGCAACGAGACACGGTGCACAGAGCTTTTAACACAACAGCTACACTAAAAATACACAAAAGGTGTTTTTTCAGCTTCAAACCCAGAAACGTGTAATACCACCCACCCCACTGACCGACTAACTGCAGTTAGCGAAACTTTGGAGAAAGTTTTAGCCCCCCTCCACGTTTTATACTCCATTATTGTAGACTTGGACCGCCTCTTGTGAATAATCACTAGCTAACAGTTTACGAGGCTGAAGTTTGCCCTCTATTTGCCAGCTTCTTGCTCGAATTCCCCCGTTCCACCTTAAACGATGCAGCGGTTAAAACTGTTGGTTGGCAAAATTACATTAACTGCTGCACCATTTAAGGTAGAACGGGAAAATTCGAACAAGAAGCTGGCAAATAAGAAACTGACTTCAGGTTCTCGTCCTTTTCCCCGTCTATAGATATATATATATATATAGCTATTTAAAAAAGAAGCAATTAAAAAAGAAACACTTACAGAAAACGTAGCCGATGAAAAACGGGCTTTACGACCGACAATCCGTGTCTACGCTGGCCGGGAATCGCAGATGCAGCTAGCCGATCCCTCGTGGTTCGTTACTCACAAACCCAACGTCCAGCTCGCTGATTTTTCACTCAGGTAGCGCATTCGTGGCCCGTTTTCGCGACTCCTTCGGACATTTCATCGTAGGCGTCGAGGGATCTCCGTCTCCTCTATCCTCCGGAATCACGCGTCGCCGCTAAAAACCGCTTTCAAACTGAGCCTTTTTTCCAAAATTTCCAACTTTACCTCAGTTAAAGTTGATAGAGACTCCACATTGCCCTCGCTCTGATGAGACGGTTTCCAGACGCCCCTTCATTCAAGCTCTGCGGCGCGTCTCTCCGTGGGGCGGCTTGAAACCCTCCGGCATCCTGACCAATGGGAAGGTTTGTTTTTCTTAGCGCGCCGTTCCTGATTGGCGAAGTGGGAGCGCATCAAAAAGGGCGTGACCACTGGAAATCTCTTTATTTTTTCTTTTCTCAAATCTTAGATTGAAACGTACAGTGGGCACAAAAAGTATCTGGACATTTGTGACACACTTAGAAATGTATTAAGTGTCAAACCAGAAAGTACACTTGGATTTATATTTGTGTGTGAGATATATAGAAGTACATTAAGCAAAGAAAACAAAACAAAACAAAAACAGACCGGCCCTTTCGACTGTATTAGATAAACACATTTCATACTTCTATTACATTTTCACCTTTACATAATTTAAAGGTCCCACACAAAGTGTATGTGCAAGCCAAACACCGTGTATAGCTGTGTGTGAAAGTCCTCTACAGAGAACACACTTCTGTACAATTTAATACACTATTAATGTTTATTTGCTGAATTTAACATACTGGAAAAAAGTAAAACATAGTAAAACAACGTGGCCCATTTTATGTCTAGGATGTTAAATAGACACAAAACAGTTCTACAAAGTGCTGGTCAGTGCTTTATGTTGAGAATGGGCAAAACCACTGATTTTCTTTACGATTCACAAGTATTGTGAATGCGCCCATGATATCAATTCCAATGCTTTGAAAACCTTCCTGTACCCGTAAAAAGGGAGATCTTTGTGAAGGTGACCATTGGTAAAGACAAATATCAACAAAAATGCACTTAAAAGTTTTGATGATTAATGAGTCCTCACTAAATTGTCCAGTCTAAGCCTTCACATGCAAACTCAGTGACCTGTTATCATCACATTGTGCTCCTTGCAGTTTTTAAATAAGTGAATATTTCTTCACTTTAATTCAAAAACATATTTCAGTGTTTAAGGGAAAAACTTGCTGTTGATATTTTTATGTAAAGGTCGATTCTCAGAAGTAAACATCATGATCTGAAGAAACAATACTTTCTGTCTGCCCCTAGTTTATTACAACAGACTGTAGCTAAGCATTCAGTGGCATATTTAGAAATGTAGTCCTTTATTATGTGGAACATGTTATCTCTTCGCCTAACTGGGATTTTTTCAGCATGCAACCCGAAGCCATTTGTCGACAGAAAGGCGCTGCCATTAATTATCACACTAACAAAATAAAAGTGTGGCTATTTGAAGCTAAAATGATGGGAAAACAGGAAAATATGTGACATTGTGAGGACATTTCGTTGGTCCATATATTCATATTACTTTGTTTTAGGAATAGCAGTAGCTTTAATTTGGAACAGCTGGATTTCCATTTACTGAGAGTAAGATTAGGGTTACATTTAGATGCTACAGAAATCAATGGACATACTCAACAAAGATACAAACCTTTGTGTGTATGTGTGTGTGTGCTTGCTTGTTTGAAAAATGCCTGGCCAGGGGTTGAAGACCACAGGCTGGGTCAGTGACTGTTGTAATAATGGCTTTATTTATAGAGAAGTTCAGTGCTGGGAGTCATTGGTAAATCACCACGGTATGTTAGGACTGGGCCTCAGCTGCCAAGAACGCTCAACCCGTGACTGGAAACACAGATGACCTGAGATCCAAGAGCGCAGTTTACTTTTGTTATTACTGAGCATCTCTAATTAGTGTCAGAGACTCCATACAAGAGTCTGGAGCAACAACAGTTTGTGACAGAAGCTTGTGCTCCACATGCCTTAATGGATGTTTTTGCGTTCTGAACAGTATGTAAAGAGTAGCCGTGTCTCATAGTACGTCATTACAGGCCATCAGGACGTGATCAGATTAGGGAAAGGGGAACATGGTTCAGATGCTAGACTGTGATTTCCTTTCTAGCCAATCGAATGACTCCAGGGCCGTAATAAGGCAGGAGCTCTTGTCGTCAATCAGACCTTGTCTGTGGTTCATGGTGGTGACAAGGTGGGAGTTACTGCTGTCCGCCAAATTTCGTCTGTGGTTCATGGTGGACGGCACCACTCAAAGTTAGGCCAGTTGTGCTCACAGTGAAATTATATGGTATGCAGATTTTCATGGTGGACCTGAATGTAACTGACAGATAATGTTCACAATAGGCCCTAAAAGGGGAGGGTACTTCTCAGTATTGCACACATACACATACAGATATCTCACTTTCATCTTTTGGAAAACTACTAACTTTCATAGCTCCCTCTTTGCCAGTACTCCTCCCCTCCCCCCTCTCTTTGGTACAGTATAGAACAGGTTTGATCACTGCAAAGCCATGCTGCATTGCAACACCTCAGCTCCAGCTGGGAATGGTTTCAACACAGGGACACGGGTCTGAAAGAAAAGCCTTTCAAAGACAACAGAGCATGCAATGGCTGAATACTGTGTGTGTGTGTGTGTGTGTGTGTGTGTGTGTGTGTGTGTGCGCTTCATTCCTTAATTTCACTGCAGAACGTCAGTCATCATAGTGTCATAACTGTTTGGAAGACTTCTCAATACAGTATTTTCTTAATTTCAATACAGCCATTTCTTCTTTCTCAGACTATGTGGTTACAAAACTTTAAAATAGTTCAAAAAACAACAAAGTTACCACATCCTCTACAGGGGACAAACTTATATATGGCATTTCTCTGCAAATTCAGAGTTTTTCTGCATTTATTTATTTCAGAGTTGAGAGTTTGACATATTGGAACAAAATTAAATATGAAGTGAGTCATAACTGTTGCACAGGCCATATTTTTTGTCCAGTATGTTAAATTTAGCATTTAAACAGCAGTTGTGATTAAAATGTGCAGGAGTGTGTTGTCTGTAGAGGATGTGTTAACATATTTTAACTTAGAAAATCAACAAACCAACAAACGTCATTTGACCAGGGGTGCCCAAACCTTTGCACATCGTACACGTAGCAGCCCCAAAAAAGTACTTTGAAGCTTTAAACATTTGTAAACTTAGTTCTTTGGAGCACTTTTTAACATCCTATTAACAGTATATTTGACCAGGGGTGCCAAACTTTTGCACTTTACTGTATATGTCACTGCTGTCCAAAAAAAAAAAAACCCAGTATGTTAATTGTTTTTCGATTTTTCGGCATCTCATTTGAACACAGCAGGTGTCCTTTATATTGTGTGAACATTTGTGTGAACATTGAGGAATGGACCAATAGAAACGCTCCAGAGTTGCTTGGAATAAAATGCACATTAACTTGCATTAAAAGTTGAAAATGTTATTGATTGTCCATCGGTAGTCTCCGATTTAGAGTAATACTGCTAAACCCAGTGTGGGGAAGAGTAGGTGGTCTGGCACTGACATAACACTGAAATCTCATGAAATCACTAGCAAAAGTTAGCATCAATGTTGATCATGTTGATAAAAAGGCTTCTATATAGGATAAATTTCAGCATTAAACATTGCTTTGTTCAAATAAAAGCTTCTGTCAGCCTATGGAATTACTAGAATAGCCCGTGCTCTTCTTTATGTAAAGGCTACATGCAAATTCAACTAAGCTAACAGGATTTGTTAATGAAATACAGGAGATCATACAGAAATACAGGAGCTGCAGACAACAAAAACCAGGATGCATCTAAATGCAATTCTCAATTTAGAAAAGTCAATGGAACCAGACGTTTTTTCCAAGTAATGGTCATGCTGGTTGACCTGCATACCAGCAACCAAAACACAACGTATGCTGATTTCAATGGTGACCAGCATATTAATTTTTCTATCGCTGCTGACCACCATAGCAGTATCCAGAACACAATGTACGCTGGTTTTCATGGTCTTTCTAGCAATGAAATACATAATTTCTGCATTAACTTCCATTAAAAGTTAAGTCCTGTAAAGTTACCATCTTTTCTTGACAATATTTTTATATCTCTTTCTTCATTTTATGGCATTTTGCATAAGTATTTGCACGATGTTTGGCAGACATCACTGTGTTTATGATTATATTTTGAAGTTTTCCAGGTATATGTAAGTAAATGCTATAAGTAATGCTCTCTTTCTCTGTGTCTCTCCCTCTGTCTCTCTCTCTCTATCTCTCTCTCTCTCTCTCTCCACACACTCTGACGACAATGTGTCACTCTTCACACTGCTCCGCAGTTTCCTCAGTGCCAGAGAACCATTTGCTCTTCCTGTGCAACTGGCCCATGTGTGCTGGGAACGAGCGCTGCTCCGATTAATTTGTTACATATCACTGATGGTAGTGAAGGGTAAATGGCTTATTCTCGTGTTAGCCTAAACTGTGCAAACCATGTAGACCTCATGAGAAAAGCGCTAACTCAGTGCAAGGTCATAAATTCAACCTGCAAACTGAGCACATGATGGTGTCTGCTGTATGTTAACAGTGTGGGCTGGTTCCATGTTTTGGGAAAAAATTGTATAGTACAGTAAAGAATACACACTTTAAAAAGATGGTTCTTTAGTAAAGGCAGTGGTTCTATTTAGAACCATTAAATGGTTAAATGGTTCTTCGCATGGTAAAATTGTTCTTCAGATTGATGGAGGATGTACATGGTTCTATATAGAACCTTTTTGAAAAAAGCACCACAAAGGGGTTCTGCTGTTGTTACAAGCTTGACATTGCAACAATAGAAGAACCCTTGTTGGTGCTATATATAAACATCCATCAGTCTGAGGAACCATTCCACCATGCAAACCGTTTAAGCATGAAATAGTTCTATATAGAACCATTGCCTTTACTAAAGAACCCTTGAAGAACCATCAACTACACCACCAAGTGTGTAGTAAAGTATACTATAGTATAGTACTGGTCATTTAAGCTAACTGAGGTCATAGCTTGCTAGCAGAAGCAACATGTCTGCAAAACCACATCGAAGCATGTTTTTATAAGAAGTCAAAGGTCTCCAAAACAATAATTAGCGGCCAATGCTACCCCTGACCCTAACTGTTTCTTTATGTCCGAGTTTATAAAGCCTCTCACTCTCTGTTTGTCCCTCTCTGTCTGGAGGTCACTGAAAGGTCAGAAGATTGC